TATATATTAACAAAAGAAGGAGTGACAATACTTGTGACTATTAGAATAAGATGTCGGCCATTCTACTATCACTCAGTAAGTGAGACGACTCTTGAAATGCAGTTTGTATTCTCAAAATTGTTTACGATATGTAAAAGGATTAAATTTTATATTGCGTGCAATGTAAGTAACCCCTAATTGAGCATCTATTCTAAAATGTTGTAAACTGTTACCATACTTTAACTAGAAATTATTACAGTATGTCATTATGCTAAAAATAAAGTGGTTATTTTGCAGTTTTTTTTTTCATTTTTAAACTCAAAACAAAATCTTTGTGCGGTTTTTCAAATTTATACTAAAATTAAATCATTAATTTTTTTTAATCAGAAATACATGACACTATATAAATGCACTTATACTGAATTGAATTGTGATTTTCAAGATTACTTAAGAAATATGATATGACATTGTAATGAAATTAAATATTTTATGAAAAAAAAAAAATAATTAAAAAATATCTTATTCAATATGGTGTTAAATGCAATTTAATACATTTTTTTTTTTTAATTTATTTTAACCTCATTACAGATACATGTTTTTAATATTCGAATACAATGAGTGGCAATTACTTATATTATGACAATAAAGGGGAAAAAATTTTAAGTTTAAATGTCATGATTCTCAAATTAAAAAATTTTATTATGTCTATTAAATTTTTCTTCCTCGTGAAATTATTCATTTGCCTTGGTTTACACATTCTACACGCACATACATATATTAAAATATAATTTTTTTTAATATTTACAAAATATTTCCAAAAACTCTACGTTTTATACTTCTGTAATAAGTTAATTTTATTCAAATATTATCAAGTCAATCTTAATCGCAGTTGGTGGTCCTTACAAAAATGTCAGTTCTCCTCAGTATAGACTACATGTCTTGTTATTTTTATTTAAATGCATTCTTATTCTTCGTATATATGTACACATGTAAGTATGTATATGAATAAAATTCCACATATTTTCAAATATTTAGACAATTTCAAAATTCTTATAGTAAAATTACAATGGCATTTTGTATAACAATTTTGGAAAAATGTTAAAATATTTTCAACAAAAAATAAAAAAAAATATGAAGAAAAAAATGTCATGAAAATTAAAGAATAATACTTTGTATTAATTTTAAATGTTGAGAAAAAAATTTGTGATAAGCTGTTGCCTAAATATAGGATAGATAACTTTATTATTTCGGAAATTGCATAAATTAGTAAAAATTCTGTTTTTCCTGATCAAAATGAAAAATACTGATTTAGTTCTAATGGTCAATAGAAAGTGTCACGTTTGACATATTTGTTTGACAGAATACTGAAATTCAAATACGAAGGCAATCTTATGAAAAACTGTTATATACACTTTGTAATTTCGACGAAATGGATAATTTAGCTAAAAGGTCTAGCTAGATCCGATATTTGAATGCTCTTCAAATTCCCCGATATACCTTTCAGAATTTATATAAATGTGTCAACACTGTCATATAATCAATATTGTTCAATAAATATAGATGTCAATGTCAAATACACAGGAAATTTTTTTTTTGTTTCTAAGAATTGTTCGCTATATTTAACATTTTTAATTTTCTAAATTTTACTATAAGATTCCTTTACTTGCTTATCTTGTAAATAAACAAATTGGTTTCTGCTTTTATCTGTACAATTATACAACACAATTAAAGCCGTAACGTAAAGCAAAACCCGTAACCCGTAAAGCAAATTTTTTTTTTTGCAATCTAATTCAAATATTTACCAAAATATTTTTTATTAGAGTAATTTTTGTAAATATTTTTAATGAAACATTAATTATTGAGCGTTTAAATAAAATTTTATATTTCTCTTCTACACATACATATACTTAGACATACCTTGTTCATAGAATAAACTTTAGTCTAATTCTAGCAATTATAGCTAGCCTAATTAGAATATTGTATTGTAGTTATTTTGCTTTTTTTTTATATTTCTTTTTTTGCTTTCATAAAAATTCATTAACCTCTTTAAAAAGTATAAATTTATAAAAAAGAAATGCCAATCCTTTCATTTCCGGAATTTAGTAACTATTTATTTAGTCTATATAATTTTATTTAATATAATATTTTTGATAATATACAAATAAAACTAGAATGAAGTACAACGTATTCCCATATTGGTACCATCATTTGAACACTTGTTTGACTTAATTTTATTTTTGGTTCTTTGTTTGTGATTGCTATGTTTATACCATAGTTTTCCACCTTTTTTTCAATATTTGAACAACAGGCATACAAACTTACATTACTTATTACCATGACTTTATATTATGATTCATCAACATTTCAAAATCATTCCCATATTCGTAACAATTATAATAATATGACGATATCCAAAAACAGTAAACAAATAAAGAAAAAATTAAAAAAAAAAAAATACGACATATACTCCACCGCAATACAAGAAACTCCCAACCTAACACAATAATTTATCAAAATCCATTAAGTGTAATAATATAACAATAAAACGTAGGTGAGTTTCTGAGTTCAATATAAAATTCCAAGCAATAAAATACAGACAAAAAACAGAAAACACAAATATTTAGCAAATTCAGTTTTTTTTATTTCGATTCTCGTTATCGTAGTGTTGGAATATTTGTTTGAACAAATTTTGCTAGATTAGGCAAACTTAAATACCATTTCGTGCCAAATGCTTTAATGACTTGATATTTTAAACGTAGTTGAAGCAAAAACCAAACTAAATTTCTCAATATTAAAAATAATAAATAAACAAAATTTGAATCAGTGGCTTCAAAATCAATAGTTGAATAAAGTAGACCTACTAAGATACATATATTTATATTACATTACACACATTGTAGCCCCCCAAAAAAAAAAGACACTTACGTATAAGTGAATATGCGGGATACCAACTTCAAAGTAACAAACAAAATTATTTTGATTTCCAATTTCAAAGCTGAATCTGACTAATCTGAAGTTTTGACAACAAACTCAATAACCTCACAACACCATTCGTGTTATGTCAAAAATTCAGTTGAACGCAAACCTATGATACGTTACGCCAAGTTTGACAGCAAAAAGTCATGCCATTGTCCTAACACTGCATATATTGTAAATAAATATGTAGCCTATGTGATATATACTTATGCATATCTATACACTCATTATTTATGTGACCATATTCATCAACACTTTATTTTTTTTTTTTATGTCAGACAAAGAATCATTTAGAAAGCAAAACAAAAAACCATTTTTTAAAGAACAATAACCGAAATTCCAACATTGTTAGTAATGTGAAACAGCGATAGAATTCGCGGAAATTCGGTTTATATTTTTTTATATTTTTTGAAATAAAAATAAAGAACCAGAAAAACCTTTAAAAAAATGTTCATGTATAAATAAAAATTGTTAAGGCGAGTATAGAATGTTATTTGTGTTTGTTTGAGTGCACATGGGTATCTTAAAAATAAACGATGAGTGTCACACGCAAATTAGTATCAAAATTCACGGAATAGCTATAATATAGGTATGTAATTTAGTACATAACAAATTATTAGTAGCCTATGCCTTAATAATATTAGGTAGGTATGCAAGTGTATTCAGTTTAACAATATGTTCTACATACATTTGTACATGCATATGAATATTAAATATTATATAAAATAGAACACGCAATGTAAAATACCTAATAATTGTACAATTTTATTTTTAGTGTCATATTTTACATATCCGGATACGTACATACATACATAGAATCACATGGAATTATACAGCAGGTATTACACAAACGGAATTTAAAGATAAACCTGTAATTGCGTATATTTGAAAGTTTTTCCTAAAATATCTCCTAAATGCATAAGTTTAATTGTTAATCTTATTGAATAAATTTTAGACATATTTAGGATAATTAATTTTCGTTTAGAAAATTGCTTGATTAATTGCTACAACAAACTGTTCACTTATTGAGTATAATGAATGTTTTTTGATGATTAATTGCTATAAACTTATATTCGCATTGTTTCTGCCTTTGTATCATAAAAATTTCATCTTAAAAAACGAAGAATCATGATTTGATATTTCCTCAAATTTACTGTGAAAATAAAGAATTATGTGCATTAACATGTGCATTCATATGTACATATATACATACAGGGTACACTTATTTAAGAATATGAGTCCAATTTTGATATTATTGTACTTGTTATACAAGAAATAAAATTTAGAACTCATCCGTAATTTGTTTTTCACAATATATTTAAAAAAATATAAATGTACATTTGTATATATTAAGTTGATATACTAATATACAAAGATCATATTCTCATTTATTGTCATCATTATTATATTAACATGATTATTATCATAATTTTCATTTAAAATCATAAACATCAAGAATTTTTCTGTCAGTCTCTTTAAATGTGTAAACACACAAACATAATATTAAAACTGATATGTAAGTACCTAGGTATATAAAGCACAATTATGTTGTTATTCAATTTAAATTTTTTATTAAAATACATTAAATTATAATGTTGTCCACTCCGGATGCTCTCAACATAACAACATAATCAACTATGTACATATATAGGTACGAAAAATTATGACATAGATGTACATTACAAGTATAACGTATGATGTCCAGAATAAAAACTTTACACTCAAATCTTAGTTGGAATTTTTTTCACTTCCAATTTATTAAAACTGATTTTTAGTAATTGAATTGCAAGTCCTAAACAATTATTTAATTGAAATAGAATTTAGAATCAAAATCATACATTATTATTAAATATATTTCTATAAATACACGAAAAGAGAAAAATTCTTTAATTATTATTTTCGTTTCTATTGCAAATCAATTGACAAAACATATACACCAAAACAAAACCGACCTAATTAACTAAATTTATACATTTTACTACGGTAAACAATGATCTCTAAGTTTGAACCCCAATAATATATTAGAAGAAATCAAAAATACTTACTTAATCTACCAAAACTATGACTCAGCCTCTTCTTTAGCTTCTGTAATGCACCTCCTTTTTTCTCACGCATTGTTACACCTGTAAATGAAAAAAAAATTTTTAAAATTAAAAATTTATTACTAATTATAAATACAATTAAGTTAAAAATTAAAATAATTTGAATAATTTTGTTTGATTAATTAAAATACTTTAAAATTATATGTAGGTATTTTCCTTCAAAAAAATTTACTCCATAGTTAACACAAAATTTTGTCATAGAGTTAATCAGAATAACTCTATTTTAAATTTTCACTATTTTAATGATTCAATTTAACTTGAACTGAAAATAAAAGTATCCAAAAAAATTGATTTTGAAATTTTTCAAATAAGTCTGCAAAGGAAATCGATACAAACAAATCACAGAACAAAAAATATTATTGTATTACAGTATGACAGATGTAAAATTTTAAAAAATCAACAATGAAACTTCAAAAGCAAAACGTCATGAGTGTATTGAGTTTTTGTATCTATATTTTATTGCGTTAGCAGCGCATTTAAAAATTAAATTGCTAAATTTAATTGGAAATGGGTGGTTCGGTCGTACTCTGAAATTTATTGATCGCGTGTATAATTTTTATTGATAAATGTGAACCAAAACCAGAATATAAGTATGTATATATTTCAATTTTTTAACTATTAATTAGTTAACTTACTGCCAATTAAAATTACAATATCTTTAAGTGATTGAAATTAATGAATGAGAATTTCCAATATGAAAACGAATAATTAAAAAGTAAAAAAAAAATTTTTTTTCTCTTATCGGCACTTTGTAAAATTTCAAATGAATTTCCATTAAATTTTATAATAATTGTATGAGCACTTGTACGATCAATTACATAATTTCAAAAAATCTACAAAGTTAGTAACATTATGCATATGTATGTATATCCATAACAAATTATAATGTAAAACTTATTATTATGGTTAAATTAAAATGTAAAGCTTGCAAATAAATCTAAAGCGTCATGAATTGACGCCACACATTGCATATTTTTTTTAAAATTTTCAGGTGTTAAACAGTTGAATATAAAATTATCATCATATGATCAATTCTTTTAAAGCTGCAAATGATAAGATTGTACATTTTGGTTCTTTAGGGGGTTCCTTTTAAAAATAATTGTTCTCTAAATTTTTGGCATTTGATTATTAAATTATTATTTTCGCACCAAAATCAACTACACCATCTTAAGCAGACCATTATTTCTGAAACTGAACGTGAATTTTTCAACGTTTTTGACATTTTTAAATAATTGACAGATTTTTGACCGGATTCTGTAATTGTTGCATATTCGGATATTAACACTAGAATATTCAGGCACAATACACTCATTTAATTGTATATTTTGCTTATTCGTAAAATTTGAATATTATTTATATGTATATATATATACAAATAACATACTATGCATATCCCAAATTAAATCGAAAATGATTCAACGGGAGAAAATTTTTAATTATTCATTGTTTATTAGTTTTCTTAAATATGTTATATTATAATACACAATATGTAAGTTTAATTCGTAAGTTGCTTTATTTTGGACCAACAATTTTTGATATGACAGCAATATTTAATTGCTTAAACAATTTATTTTGTTATTTACATATTATTGTTTTTGAAATTAATAAGATACCAACGGTATTTTTGTACTTGCTTGTAGCTTTTTTAATTTTTAAAAAATATTTTTTCAGTTTTTGTTATTTATTTTAAGAAGTTCATTTTGATGCATATGATTGTTTATTGACAGCAGACATTTTTCTTATGTCAATCAAATCTCATTGTTGATTTAAAAAAAAGAATGTTTTTTTAATCGGATTTGAGTATTCGATTTTCAAAAGAGTGAAAATTTGTAATAAATTTAAACAAGTACATACTTTACAGTTTTAACTAATACAGAATTTTGTTATTCACTCTTTGTTTAACAACTTAGTTGTTACAGCAACTATTTATAACACAAAATAGTTATGAGAAACTAGAACTAGTAACAAGCAATAGTAAGTTACAATTTTGGAGTATTAACTATTTAGTAATTGAATTGTGTTAAAAATATTAATAAAATTTATTTAATATTTATTTAACTTAGTATTTATTATAGATCAGGAAGGTTTTTAATCCTATTTAGACCCGACTGAATACTAATAATGCAATAAATTTATTACCTTAACTAACCTCTACCCTATTAATATTAATTATCGACTTTACATTGGCTTACAAATAATTGTTATAATATTAATTTCTTTGTCATTCAATTAAGCACTTCCTAATACAATTTAAATTTTTTTTTATAATATGTGAAAATTTTAAAATGAATAATCGTGTTAGACAAAATAATTGATCGCACAAACACTTTTATTGACATTATAAATTACTTAGTATACTTAGTAAGCTGAGTAATTTTAACAACAATTTAATATATTTAGTATTAGCTTTAAAAATTTCAAGTGCATACTTATTAATAATTATTATAAGTCAGTATTTATGTAAGTACTTATATTCTTATATTATTATGATGTGACTAATATTATTTTTTAATATTTTAGAAAAAATATATTTATTTATATAATAGTGATATAATCAAGGCACACAGGCTATAAATGTTAGTAATGAAATAAATCGATGTGAATCATTAATAACTTACTGTTATAAATAATATACATATACATACATATAATTGTATGTAAATATAATTTATTTAACAGGTACATTATTGTGTTATTATTTTATAATATTATATAAATATTTATTAATTAATAAAATGAAATAATAATTTTCGGCAATTTGTTTTTTTAAGATTTTTCGTTAAAATTACTGTCGGCATTTTATATTATCTAAATTGTTTATAAATTGTTAATCAAAAATCAGAAATTTGAGTTATACCATTTTCAAACTTGATATATTTTGACATTTATTAAATAAGTATTTATTATTGTCCGGCGAATACTTTAAAATTTTTAAATTAATATTCAAATCCCAAATCCAAAAAAAATTATAAAATTATTGTTACCAATTAAAATATTAAAGTAAACAATGACAAAAGGAAACAAATTTTTTTTTTTAATTTTATAATTACACTGACATTAATAAATATAATTTTACTTTTTTTGACATTTATTGTCATACTTGATAAAACATTTATTGATGGTTTTCTTTTTCTCTTTTCATTATTTCATTTTGTTTTTTTCAGTTTTCCTATTTTTAATTCAAATGTGATTTCATTAAACACTTTTCCAAAATAAATAAGATTTATTTGAATAATTATATTTTGACATTATTAAGTTTACATTACACATGTATGTACATAAATATTAGAATTTATTTGTTTACACGCCTAAATATGAGTAATTAAATGCGTTATACTCACTCCAAATCAACTTTTTAAAAATATGTCATATATGTATGTTATATGTATGTATATAGAAACTTTCAATTACTTATGTCAAAAACTAATTTGTTTTTATAAACGTTATACACTCATTTTTTGTTTTCTCAAATATTTATTTTAGCTTATCTTATGTATTCATTTTTTATTTTTTATTTTTATCGTTTTCAGCTGATTTGCTGTACTGTTTCTGATCTGACATTGATCTATCAAGGTAAAATTAAAAAATAATTTGTATAGTGTCACATACTTAATTCACATGAATTATTTTTCACTGATCATTTGTGCGCGCGAGTGTGTGTGTGTGTACATTTAATAGTAAAGTAATGTGTTTAAAAGTAAGAAAGAAAATGAAAAATACTTATAACGTCACTTTATTTTTTGCCTAGCTGTCAATCAAAATTTAAAAAGAGTAATGTGGGAGAGAAGAGCAATTAAAAATTATTTTTTTTTCTTCAAATTTTTTTCATCAATTATTCTCTATCTCTCTTTTTTCGTGTATTTTGTTGTCTTTTTCCTTTTCACTTTTTATAAACAAATAATTTTAATTCTAAACTTATCTGATATAAAAAATATTTTTATTTTTAAATAAATTTTTTTTTGTTTATTTTAATCACTTCTTTTCGAGAATAAAATTTTCGTTGACACCTAAGAAAATTTACGGAGAAATAAGCGTGAGATAATTTTTTGTTCTTATTTTTTATTTAAAAAAAAATAAAAATGAAAAACTCATAATATTTTTCAGTTATGTCATCAACCCATTAAACATTTTGAATAATTTTTCTTTTATTTTTGTTTATTTTTCTTAAAAAAGTATTTTATTTTAATTAATTTTTTATATAAAAATAAAATAGAGATTTTTCTTGAATTACTAGGTGAAGAAGATGTAGAATTTACTTTCTTTGTACAAATTTTTATTGCTGAGTGTTATATGTTAATTTTTTTGCTTGCATGTTAACAAAATGTACGGTTAGGTTTAATTAAATAAATTGGTTTTTTTTATATTGAAACTCAAAAAACTAAAGTTCTGTGTTTGTTTTCGGGTTATATGAATAAGTTTTTGCACTTTGTTTAAGTACACACAACATATAAAACTTATAACATTCTCAATTACATCAGTTTAATGGAGTAGCTACGAAACCAACGTCGAATGCGGTTTAATTCGCATTTGCAGTTCTGACTCCCAGAAATCTTATTAAAAAATTAAAACTGTACTGCAATAGAATTCATCTCATCAAAAAACCATCAAAAAATCTGGTGTTATCTCAATAATGTCTCTCTACTCTCTCAATAATATGAGTTCTCCACTAATTGAAGTTATGGTTTATGAATTTAAAATGAAAAAAAAAATTATTCCATCAACTTGACAGAAGATCTTTTGCCGTCTTACGTTAGTTTTGCAGCAAACTACAAAAATGTGCTACCATTGCAGATCTTTGTTAGAGCTATGCGTTAATTTTTACATGTTTTTTTACTCACACTTCTATTAATTAGCATTTACTAAACAAATATTAAGTTTAACACATTAAACAAATCAAACAAATTAAATTTCATTCTATCAAATATTTTTGCAACGACAAATGATTAATGATGATTATATTAATTTATAAAAAATACTTCCAATTCAATATTCAATTTTTGATATTCTTGATTTTCTTTTCA